TTTCAACGACGGCTCCGTCGTCGACGCGAGAGAACGCCGTTTCACGGGTGTTAATTAAATTTAATAATCCGACCTCTCGTGCGCGCGAATCCTCGAAATTCGCGAACCCTTCTTGTATTCCCCGCCGTCGCGTCGGTGCCTGAACGCACCCTCGTTTCCGCTTTCCGGATGTGTGCCCACCCTCCTTGTAAGTTAATTCGAGTCCTTATCTCAAGACAATGGGCGTCATCAATTCCGTCAAGTTCCTCAAGAACGCGGAATTTCGATTCGCTCTTGCGCGACGAGCAAAATTAATTCTGGGACGCGCGCGACGCGTCGTTTCCGATATTTCACAACGTAAGACGTCTGTAGAAATATACGAAGGGGCTTCGATTTGGTTTGTAATGCAAAATGTACAATAAAATATGTAAAATCGAGAGATAAGAGACGAGAGGGAAATAGGTTCTGAAAAAAAACCCCGGAAAGTAGAGCGGATTATAAATCGTAAATTAATAAAACTCTAATCTTTCGTTTTATTCGTAAAAATTTTTACCCCGCTTTTAATACGCATCTTCCATTTTTCATTTGTTCCTCGCTTTTTGCGCACAACGAGTCGGAAGCGTCACATTTCCCGGAAAATATTGTGTACCTCTCTTTATTAACTATATTCTTTGGATATTAAACTCAATATTAAACATTGTACTTCCATCTCTGCTTACACAACTGATAAAACACTTTGGAACATAAATATTTCAATTTATTGAAATCTATCGTTCACGATTCTCGTCTCTCATTGCTCGCGACGCGCTTCCCATGCTGATCAATTTTTTTTTCTAAATGGTGTTTTTTCCAAATGAGGTTTTTCCTTGTTTCGAGTCATTTAATGTTATGCGTTTTACTCTGATTAAAAATGTTCTTCAACGCCAACAGGCTTGTTTTATGTTTCTAAAATCCTATATATGAGTGCAACTTTATTATGCGACCATTTTTGCAAACATAAAACATCTACATAAAACAACGTTTTTGTCGACCGCAGCTGTACACCAGTTTCGAAAATGATGAATTGTCAAAACTGACATGTAAAATGACAAAGTTACAAAAATTTAAATTACAATTCAAGTAAATTATTAATAAAGTCTAAACAATCATAATAATATATTACCGTATATATATTATTATGTAAAATTATATTTATTCGATATAAATATTTAAAATTAACAGTTAATAATTTTAGGAAAAATAACAGCTATTACTTGCAGCATATGATGACGTTAATGATATCGAATCACATGGCCTAAAGCCGCTTACTCGAGCAATTTTCCTCGCTAACGGTCTGCTCGAATTGTTGCTCAAAGGCGTACTCGACTTAAAACAAATTGTTGAAAATGGACTTGTATCAATTTCAACGGGAAAAAAAAAACATTTATGCAATTTCACTTAACGACCGAACTGATGCATTCGTAAAGACATTGTAAAGTACGGAACTTGAAAATGAAAAAAAAAGACAAAGGTCTACAGTAGAAACAAGCTTTAACTTATTTCTTTCGGAATTGAACCTTATGCCATTAAAAAAAAGCCGACTCGTATCGTTCTCGGAAGAGGTCGGGATAACGGAGTTTTGCACCGCGCTCTCCACACCTCTAGCGCTTATTTTTAGAAGACACCCGTGCGACGCCTGAAGGGTTATTGTTAAGATAAATCTCACTCTGTCCCCTTTTCCCGGAGCGCCGGGACTACCCTCGGTCCTCTTCCGGCTTAACTCAATTTCCCCAGTGCCGGTGCGGACCACCGGCTCGCCGCTGATGTAAAGTCTAGTTTACACGAACAACGGCGTTCGGGCGGCGCGCGAGGGCGAGATGTACAGGCGGCGAATCCGACCACTAATTAAGAGCCGCGCCGCGGCTCGTTCGCGCTCGGGGAATTTGGGATAGTCTCTTTCTCCCCCCCCCCCTCTCTCTCTCTCTCTCTCTCGCTCGCCTTGCGAGACAAATGCGCTCGTTTCGCGAGCACATATTCTTCGGGGAGTCCATTACGTTACCAGACACACGCCGCCGCGGGATGTTACAACGACAGATTCTTATTGTCTCGCGGACTCCAAAAACGAGCGCGCGCGTGTCCCGCCGGAGTCACGCAGGCGCTAATTATTTTCGCATTGTCAAATGTTTCGAAATATAATATCGCCACTGATCTCGCCTCGTTTGTTTGTCAATTAACCCTTTCAAACATACATTTTTCTATTGAAACATTTTTTCTGAAACTCTAGACGTGGGTTTTTGAGGTCGCTGATTGCGAATCCGTTAGATTTTCATGATTCAAAATGGCGGAATCAAGATGACGGAATTCAAAACTTAAAAGAATAACATCATTCAACTGTAATTTAACTATGCTAAGAAATATTATTTAGATTTTATTAAGACCCATGGAATCTAAAATTCAGTTGAAAATTCTATAGAATATAAAAAATAGCGCGCGCGAAATGGCGGATGCAAAATTGAGATTTGATCATTTCTTAGAATTTACTCATTCTTGGCACTACCCAGAGCTAACGACGCGGACGTGACGAGTCCCTAAATACCGTAATCAAACGAAAATGCTGAAAAACTTGAAAACTTAAAAAAAATTCACGTACTTTGCATCCGCCATTTTGAAAATCTGACATCAGATTCGTGATGAGCGAGCCCGAAAATCCCTTTGTACAAAGTTTTCAAGAAATAATCTTAAAAATCTCAATAAACTTTATAAGGGCGAATCCTTAATCCGTTTGTGCGACGCCAGCGCTACAAGTGGCAAAATCTTTTATTCAATATTTTGCAATACTGTCGGCCCATATTTGGTGACGTAATCAAGCCTAGTTCGGTCTCTTTATACCGATTCCATGGTTACCACCATGCTTCAAAGGATGAACGTAGTGGCGCGCGAACTGTGCCGCGAAATTCTTAAGAGATTCTGGTACTTAATGTGGTATTGAACTTAATATCTACACTTGATATGCAGTGTTTTACTGATGTATAAAAACATAATGAAAAATTATCAAATCTTACATACAATACGTGTGAGTACATTAAAGCAGCTAATTTCAATAATTATTCACCCATTTTACACAGAGTAGATATAAAAATTAATGAACCGCGTGAAATTCCTAAAAGAGCTCGCGAGCATAAAAACTTTGCGTGCTAATTAATGAACTGATACCATTATTATAGATCGTTATCCGTTTATTTGTTTATTGCTTAAAGCAAGTCGAGAAGTTTTGTTAAAAACAAATTTGTTCTGAAAACTTGCGTAATGTTAAACAATCTACTACCAACGCTTATTAAATCAGTAGTTCATTATTTGACGCATCGAGGTTAATAAGCGACGTTTATCTTAACAATACAGCTCTCGAAGTCCTCCGTTCATTTAATTTCGCCCCTAAAATTCCTCCCGCTACCTTTTGACATTAAACGAAAATACCCAGATCAGTTTTCGCGCTCGCGGATGTGTGCGCGATCTCGTTAAAACAACGAAGTCAACGCGGAATAGAATTAAAGTCAAAATCTCCGAATTGACGTGGTTTTCCGGCGAACGATCTCGGCCCGGGCGAATCTCGCGACGGATCAGGAACACCGAGGGGTGGGATCGAGCGAGGAGATATGCCGGAAACCGAGGACGACGCCTCGGAGTCTGCGGCCCGGAGGATCCAATTATCCGGCGGAATAAAATTGCGCTCGACACGGCGAATCGTCCGCTCTCGCACGCGTCGCGCCCGCGTATCCCGGACGAGCGCACGGGGGTAGTAATTTCGCTGTAATGCCGGTACCATGGGGGGGCGCGACGCGGCGCGGCGCGGCGCGGCGCGGTGCGGAGCGGGGCGGGCCTCATCGGCGACGTGTGTTGTCGAGTCGGTGGTTTCGCCGTGTTTACCGTGGCGATGCGCCGTGACGGCCGCACCGCCGGGAAAATTGAGTTACGGGGGAATAGAGAGTAGCTCCCGCGTGCGAGACGGCGACAGACACGACGCAGCGTCCGACGCAGCGGGGGTGAGGAGCCGGAAGAATGGAGAACGTTACAGCCAGAGCCGCGGGGTGTTCACGTTCGCGCGCGCTTCGCCTCGCACAGGGCGCGTTCAGTACACCCTCTGACACCCTTGTACACCCTGTCCCGAGATCGAGGCGTCGACACGTTTCCGATCTCCAAATCCGCTCCCGAGTGGAAATCTCTAAAGTCCCGCGGTTTATCCCCGCGTCACAGCTGGCTCTTTAAAAACGGATTCTTTTCTTATTTTATAAATCTTCTCGATTTTCGTTCTTCTCATTTTTCCCCAGAATTGTTTCAACGTCTCGATCCTTCTCTCGAGACGTTGACACATGCCCGAATTTCTAATTCTAAGTCTGTTTCTCGAAATCATAAGAAGAGATTTACATATGCCAAACGTAAAGGAGGAAATAAACAACTTTTGTAAAATATATATCAACGGACTAGACGATCCTAATCAACTAGCAAGTAGGTTACTTCAAGAAAGTTATGACAAAAGTAGACTAAAGGGATTCAAACTGGATAACCAAAAGAGATTCAAGTAAATTAAATCGACGCAGAGACTTAGAGACCCAGGAATTATAACCAAGCTTATGTAAACTAAAAACTGAAAGGTGTTTTCTAATGGGGAAACACCAGCACACTTACAGTATAATGAAAAATTTACTTATTATCAAAATTTGTGACAGATTGTAAATAGCTCTGAGAGAGAGTTAATAAAAAAAAGTCTATTTCTGATTTCAAAGTCCCTGAAGTCTTGCAATTTTATCTCTGCGTCACGAAACTAGCTCTTCAAACAGACCGTCTACTCGGACCAAGTTCTGGCATCGTGGACACAGGCCTATATTATAAATATTTCTTTCAATTTCAGTCTTTAAATTAACTAATAAGAGGACGGCATTAGAACGGCAATATTGTGCCTTTTTCAACTTCCGAGTGTTTGCAATTTCTTCAAATATATCCCCCGAGTGGAAATATGTATGTTTCGCGTATAATTCTCTACTTACCGCGACACTCTCTGCTGCGCTATCCTACCGTGGTTGGGCAGTGTCACGTTGCTGTCGCACCTCGACCAGGTGACGGAGTTCTTGGCGTCGGGCAGGTCGACCTTGCCCAGGTAAGCCTCGCAGAAGATCCTCGCCGAACCCCCCAGCGGCACCAACTGCGAGCTGGGCTTGTAAGTGGGCAAAGGTTTCCCCGTGTAGACCCCGGATTCCTCATCTGAAATTCAGATCGTGTCTACGGTGAATTTAAATAAACATTTGCACGTGTGTGCGACAAATCGACGCGTACGACCCAGTAAACGCAAATTAACGATTACGTCAATATTATAATGTCCCACTCAGCAACGTAACTGTTATGTATAACATGGATTATGTTACATTTATGTCGAGTGGGAAATTACAATATTGATGTTACGCAACTGATAGCTGGTATTTACTGGGAAATCGATCGTCACGGAAATTTTAATCGGCCGCCCTATCTTCGGCGGCATTTAATGGCGCCCGGATGATCAACGACGCTCCTCAACGCGGCGGATATAATGAGCCGTACGAAAAATAAAAATCACTTTAATATCACCTCGCATTACCGCGGGCCCCCGCGCGTTGCCATGAATTACGAGTGGCCTGCATTACCGTGATATACTCCCAGGCCATTTATTTCGTCACGTTTCACCCCCCTCTTTTCCCCGCGTTCATATTTAATGCGAAAACACTTTTCGGCAGTGTCTTTGCGTCTCGCCCCGAGAAGGTCGTAAGAGCCATCTATCTGTCATACGAATCCCTCGCCGGGTTCATTACAAAGAGATTCGATTTTTCGAAGCAGTTATTTTAAGGACATAATTCCTCTCACGTTCTATTTCTGAATATTCAATATTAAATGACAAATACTGAATGATGAAAGATGAAGCAAAGCGGGCTTTTAAAGCGGATAATTCAATTTAGATCGGGCCGCATGGGCGGACTCATTCCCCCTCGCGTTTGCCCAAATTCTTTAACGAGATGACAATTAAATATTTCCCTGTAAAGTTTAATTAGCAGGCGGCTGTCTGTAGCCGGTAAGTTTCCCGCGAGGCCGGAGTGTCGCGATTTTTTATTAGTTTTCATCAGGCGGTGATAGACATTCGATTAATTAATTTAATTCGCCTCCGGGCGGCCTTTGGAACGCGCTGTAGAGCACGGCATCGAAGTGCACGGGAGTGTGTAGACATCGAGGGCATCGAATGAAAGAAGCCGGCGGATAGTGGATGGTGGATGGCGGAAGGTCACAGGTCGTTGGGTCGGAACGGCGAGAGAGGAAATGGAGACAGTGCGTGCTCGGGACGCCCGGATGGGTAATTCAATCAGCATTGATGCGCGAAAAACGCAAAATTAAACAACCGTCTATTAATCGAAAATGCGCGCGCGCGTGCGAAAAGGGCGCGTGTTGCACTTATCGATTACCGTTGATTAAAATTGATGAATGCGAAGTTGAATTGTCAACACTTCCGGCGCCATTTGAATTATTGCTATTTTGTTGAACGTTTTGTGTTTATTAACCGGTTCGGCATGATATCATAGAGTGCCTCAAATATGGAGGTATTATATTACGGAATATTCTGAAATTCACGGTGAAATATCAACGTAAAGTCAATATGTGTGCTCGTAAATTCGCGTTTCGCGCTATTCAGAGACCCAAACGAGAGAAGTTCGCCTGCGCGCGGATCAACTTGGTAGGGTGTGCTTTTTTTTTTTAATTACGTTTACCTATTTGCGCGGGATAAATGAGTTGTTCCCCGCGCCGCAGAATCTTGATTTCAGAAGCCGCTGTTCTCCCCGCGTACACAACGATATGCAAAGATACATCCGCTCCCCGACTTGACGCTCCGCGGTTCTTTCACTTCCGACGCCGTCAGCGTTTTACGGTGCAGCAAGCAAAACCGATACGGCACCGTCTGAAGTTTATTTTCCAAATGTGACAGATGGATGAATATCGTTTTGGTAACGAATGAAAACGCCGCCGAGTATCCATTCTCTCCGCGATCGAGACGTCGCAAATTTAAGACTATCCTATCTTGGCCCGTCTAGTGGCATACAGGGTGTCCGTGAGTGTTTGGGACTTACTTTTTGTGAAGATAAAGCGGGCCAAACTGAGTCAAAAAGTCCTGTATCATTTTGCAATTTTCGCCGTGGTTAACGAGTTATTGATTATAGAAAATCCCTGTCTTAGCCCGGTCTATCGTCCGGTGTAAGCGCGCGGCGAGATGTGGCCGGCCCGCGACCGACATTGCTAGGCACGCGGGGAGTTATTTATCATATGTAGCTGTTGCCGATTTTGATAAACAACTCCCGCGCGCCTAGCAACGTCCAGCGCGGGCCGGCCGCGTCTTGTCGCGCGCTTGCACTGGCAGGAAAGCTGGGCTAAGACAGCGATTTTGTATAATTAATAACGCGTTACCTATTGCGAAAATTGCACAATGGTGGAGGACTTTTCGACCCGGTTTGGTCCGCTTTATCTATCCAAAAAAAATAAGTCCCCAACATTCACTGACACCCTGTACAGAAGTCGGTGGTTTCAACCTAGTTTTCGAAAAAGCGCCCACACCCCAAGTATTCGGCCGCGCCGTTAGTATGCGTCTCCGCGCGCGCCTCGCCGCATCCGGCGACGCGGGCATGCGGCATCCGGCCGGCCGGATATTCGGGTACAAACAAACTGCTAACTAACCCCCGGGACTGTCGGAATTATGATACATAGGCCGCGCGTCCATTGCCCGCCGCCATCGCTCTTAAACGCGAGCGTCCGCCGGCGCTCAGGCTCAGGTTAGTTCAGGTTAGGTTAGGGTTGCGGTTGATTTAGAGTTAGGTTCGGGTTAACATCTGGCGATATCGGTATATCCAGTCTTCCGATTCGCGAACATTTCGCAATATTCGCGTTACAATGATTTCAAATTCTTCTGATAACTAGGTTAAAAGATAAAATTAATTAGTACGATCTTTCGACTCTCTTCAACTAAAGATACAGAAATACTAGAAAATATTCTTTCAAAGTTTGCGTAAAAGCCCTCTTCCTCTCCCCGAGGTCGAAGTTTATATATAAAATAAGATGCAGATAACTTTGGAGAGAGGCTCCATGGTTGCGTCGTCTAACTTAACCTAAGCGTGAACGCAAAGTGAACGAGTTAACGTTTTCCTCAAAGAGTGGAAGACAAGTTCCATTAGTCGGGAAGTAAAGGGTGCTTGAATATGCTCGCCTAGGCTCGCAATTAATATCGTATAATCGAATCACGACGAGGACCTGAGCGCCGCTAAATTCGGCGAATTGCCATGAGCGCCTTCAAAGCGGCCGCCATTTTCCCGAGCTGATCCTCGCGGCGAGGCTGCTGTAACGATTTAATTACACCCCGCGGTAGGGCAGGGTAATTTCGTGAGGGACTAGGCTAGGTTACACTCAGTTAAGTTTCAGTAAACGCAGACGGAGATCGCGGGCTATGCCGGCGACGGCGATCTCCAACATGGCGGGCGACTCGCTCGCTCGTCATGGCGACCGGGCAAGACTATTAATCTAGTAAAGCTCTTGCAGCTTTACGCCCGCGTCGATATTTATCGGAAACTGGCCAATTTGTGCTCGCCTAACGGCCTCGTCGTCGTTCGCGTAAGCCTCTATGGCTCCATTAGGTCATCCAGATAAAATATTGACGGAACCTAACCTAACCTGATCGATACGCTGGCGTCTTAGGAACACGATAAATTAGCGAACGTTAAATGGCACGATTGATTAATCGTGGAGTTACTCAAAATGACGCATTCAGGAGACATTAAATTAACAATGTATGTAGATAATAACAGCTTCTTTGTGACACTTTTAATAAAATCTTAAAGGATTCTGATGAAGTTTAAAAGATAAGACATTTTAACAAGCCAAATTACCTTTTAATCTATGTATCTTTCAAAAATTAAGCCCTGTTAAATAGTCATCCAACGACATGATCCTCGAACAATTGAGAATCAGTCTGTTGTTAATAAATATTTGATTGATTTGGTGAAGCAATGAGCTACGGGAAGCTCTAATAAAACCTGTTACAGAAGCTGTTACATACCTATCTCGGAGAAATAATCGCAGGATTTCGGTTGAATAAAATACGTAATGCTCCTTTAATACTCGGCATTAACTACAACGTTATTCAGCACAACCGAGATGTGTTTAAAGTTGTAGAAATACTGCTGCTTAAAGGTTAAAAGCAAACGATTTGATCGATAAACTAGAGGAAAGTCCTCTATTATGAAATAGGATTCTAAAATGAGATAGTAGATTTTCAACGTCCAAAATCAATCGCAAATCTTTTTTCACAACGATTACACGATCTAACAATTAATTTTCCACTAAACTTATTTCGCTCCAAGGACAAGAAAGGATAATCATGATGGAATCAACAGATGAGGCCTATTAATTTAATAGAAATCCCCGCTCTCATATTAGGAGTCTACCTCGTAATAGGGGACTCTCCTGTATATCTAAAACCGATAACATGGCAAATTACTTTCAGTGTGTCTCACATTGGACAAAATACCAAATGTAGACAAAAATGAGGAAAACTGTCTAGAGATTCGGTAAAATGTGGAGAAAATTAATTCCGGAAATGCGAAATTTGTAATCCATTGCCAAGGTAATTGTTAATTCATTCTACGTGTTAAACTTGCTCGAGTGATCTTTTTAAAGCGATACAATTCAAAGGCGATTATCATTCATCATTCTCTTTCTGCGGCTTCGGCCGCTCCCCAAACTCCCCTACGAGCGCGATCGCATTTTGAGTTATGACGTTTCCACCCCGGACGCTATATCTGTCGCTGCTACGTGAGCGCGTCTTAAACGTGAACGAGCCCGGCGGACCAGAGCGAGTGCACGAGCGCGAAATTAACGCAAGGCGAATCGCGTTCTGCACGGAGAAACGACGTAACGATCCACGTAACTACGGGCCGATAATCGAATGCAGACGGCTTGATTAAATCACTTCTCTCCGCGTCCCTACGTCCCAGCACGAAGCGAACCCACACCCCATCCCTCGTCCCCACGCGTCTTTCTTCCTCCTATTAGCTATTTCAGCCTCTCCGTTTCTTCTCCGCGTACGCTTACGTGCAACGTGCGTAAGGTATCGCGTGTATGCGGCGCGCGTCTCGTAGGAGCGGATTGTACCCCTTCATCTTCGGGTATCGAAGTGATGCACGAGCCGAGATTATCGAAAT